AGGACTTGTAAATACATGAAAGGCTACTGAACATCGTCCACGAGAGAAATGCAAATTAAAACCACATTAAGATGCCACGTCTCAGCCATCAGATCTAAAAGTCTGCGGACACAGGGCGCCGTACGGTACGGACAAGCCAGTCATGAATGGCATTCCCACACACTGCTCGTGGAAAGGTGCCTTCATACAGCCTCCTAGGGCGGGCAATGCAGAGATGTCTATCAAAATTACAGGTGCATATGCCCTTGAGTTCAGCAGCTCCACTTCGAGAAACTCATCCTCGGGAATGTGAAAGGACCTGACGTTTGTAATAGACACTGCAAATAAGCTCCTCCAGGCATCAATAGGGACGGCTTTTCCAAGTCTGCGTATGCGTAAGGCAAGTGCTACACCATGCTGACACACACAGAATGAAGGTCTCCCGTGTCAATAAGACCCACGCACACTGTAAGCGGGAAAGGCCAGCTGTACCTGTTTAAAAGTTGTTCGTTAAAGCGCATGTTCTACCATAAAAGCCCACTCTTCCCAACACATCGACCCCCAAAGAATGTGAGGCCTCAGAGGTTTGTTTTCTGAACTTAGGGGCTCAGAAAAACCACCGCTATTCACGGACCCCTCCCTTTCTCCCAAACTCCGCGAAGCAGACGCCCACAGTGCACCCACCGCAAACCCAGGCCAGGCCGCGGAACCCAAGCGGGTTTCCGACCCATTGCTCTTCCTATCTTCAAAGCAGATTAAAAAATCCACGACGGGCAGCCGGGTGGCTCAGTTGGCTAAAGTGTGAGCTCTGAGCAACAGGGTTGCCGGTTCAATTCCCACATGGGCCAGTGAGCTGCGCCCTCTACAACTAGGTTGAGGACAACTTGAGCTGAGCTGCCGGTAGCAGCCGGGTGGCTCGGTTGGTCAGAGTGCCTGCTCTTGACAGCAGGTTGGCTGGTTTGATTCCCGCATGGGATGGTGGCCTGCCCCCCCCCCCACACTGCAACTAGATTGAATAAGCGACTGGACTTGGAGCTGAGCTGTGCCTTCCACAACTAAGATTGAAAGACAGCAACTTGACTTGGAGTTGATGGGTCCTGAGAAAAAACATACTGTTCTCAAAAAAAGTTATAAAAAAAAATCCATGAACTGTTCCCTGTTTTTTTGGGGGGGTTTTTTGGGGGGAGGCGCAGGGGATGCCTACAGAATATGTCTAAGCCTTTTAAAAATTTAGCATGAATATGCACCAAAAATTCTTCGAGGTTTGTTTCTAAATGCATTAACTTCAAGCTTGCTGGATCGCTCCCAGCCTGGAAGCAGCGGTCTGGGCGGCCGGGCACCACCTGTGTGCCTGCCCTTCTCCCTGCAGCAGAGTGCTCGGGGCCGGAGCAAAGGGCTCAGGGTCTCAGCGTCCCTCAGAGGTCAAATGTGGCATTTTACATTACAGGCCGTTCCAGCTGCAGTCTGAAGTGCGCTGCGTGCTCGGGACACAACGGCTGAGGGAGCCGGCCGAGGCACAGAGTGTGCGTGGCAGGGAAGCAAAGGGGTGACTTTAAACACACACGTTCGTATATGCATAAACGTTCCATGGACAGCTACACAGAAAATGAAACACTTCTTCCCACTGGAAAGAAGGAAGAAGTTAAGACCTAATATTCAACATCCAGAAACTTCTGCCGTACACAGAGCAGTTTTCTTTCTTTATATATAAACATCAGACTCATTAAAACTTGTAAGTCTCTCCATGTTAGTAACTAACTGCAATGTATGTTTCATCTTATAAACCTCACTGTTGTACTTTAACACAAAGAAGACATGTAACCATGACAAAAAAAAATTCAAGAGCCTAAGGAGAGGCTCGGAAAAATTAATTTTCTACAGTGTTAAAACTATTTCAGAACAATTAAGTGTTCCTTAATCCAAGTAGTGATTTTGAATGCCTCACATTTCCAGCTTACTAGAACCTAACAATAAGCTACTTTTTTCTTCTTAAAAAAAAAAAAACAGAGATTACAGCTGTGTGACCTGATTTTCAAGGAAGTTGAACACACCAGATTTGAATGCAAACAAAATACCCTTCTAGAGTAAGGTGAAGTGGACCCCGCCTGCAGGTCTAACACAGGACGGGGCTGACTGACCCTGGGGTGGGGCTCAAAGGCTGAACAGCAGAGACATGAGAACATCCTTCCAACACGACTCCGACCTAACAGAGCCAGCAGTCTTCTCATGTACTAATTCCTAATTCTTTCAACTTCAAACTACAATTTGTAGGCAGGAGTTTTATGGTAGACTTGTCATGAATTGTAAAATTTAATTCTAAGAGAAACTGGCCTTGGGATAAAACCAATCCTCTTCAAAGAATTAAGTAAATTTAGAGTATGACTAACCTGTCACAATAAAAAGTCTTTTTCTATGGCAAAGGTTTGCAAATACATTAAACTACAAATACTCTTAATAAAGTAACATGAAAAGCACCCAGTCAAATCTCACTCTTAGAAGATAACACAGGAGAAAACTCACATGACCTTGGGTAAGACAAGAACTTTTTCAGTACAACACCAAAGACACGATCAATGAAAGAAACAATTGATAACCTGGACATCATTAAAATCGAAAACTTCTGCTCTGAAAATGACACTGCAAAGATAGGAAGAGGAGAAGCCACAGAATAGGAGAAAATACCTGGAAAAGACACATCTGATAAAGGACTGGTATCCACAACATACAAACAACTCTTTAAAACCCAACAATAAGAAAACAAAACAACCCAATTAAAAAATGGGGCAAAAGATCTGTTCAAGACACCTCACCGAAGAAGAGGCACAGATGGCAAATAAGCAAATGAGATGAGGACCCACATAATTTGTCATCAGGAAAATGCAAACCAAACCAACGACAACACACCGCTGCACACGTGTTAGAACGGCCAAAATCCAGACTCTGACAGTAACAGGTGCCGGGAGGATGTGAAGCCACAGGAACTCTCTCACTGCTGGTGGGGATGCAAATGGTGCAGCTACTTGGAGGACGGTTGGTTTCTCACAAAACTAAACACACTCTCACCATATGATCCAGCAATCACACTCCTTGGTATTTATCCAAGTGAGTTAAAAACTTATGTCACACAAAAACTGGCACATGGATGTTTATAGCAGTTTTATTCGTACTCGCCAAAACTTGGAAGCAACCAAGACGTCCTTCCGCAGGTGAAGAGTAATTAAACGATGGTCCATCCAGACAGAGGAGTATTATTCAGCTAAAAGGAAATGCGCTCCCACGCCATGAAAAGACACGGAGGGACCTGAAATGCACATGACTGAGTGACAGAAACCCATCTGAAAAGGCTGCACACTGTGTGATCCCAACTGTGTGACATTCTGGGAGAGGCCCAACTATGGGGACAGGGACAGATCAGTGGCTGCCGGGGGTTAGAGAGGAGGGGTGATAAGGGGAAAAGGGGGCTTTTAGGGCCGCGATACTCTAGTCATGGGTGCATTTCATGTTACATTTGTCCAAATCTGTAGAAGGCACCCCCCCCCCTCGAGTCAGCTGGAAAGTAAACCAGGGCTCTGGGTGAGGAGGGTGTGTCAGTGGAGGTTCATGGATGGCAGGAAATGGAACGGTGAAGGTGGGGGGCTGAGCGCGAGGGGGGCGGGGGTGGGGGGTAGCGGGGACTCTGTATTTCCCACTTAGTTTTCCTGAGTACCTAAAAATACTTTATAAAAACATACAAAAAATACACACACAGTTAGAAAAGGGTCTAGACAACAATTCTGTAAATGAGAAAATTAGAAAAAAACTTTAATAAATGTGTTACTAATGGTTAAAACCTAGGTGAGATATAGTCGGCTGTTCAATCTCCTATTCTTCCAACTTTTCCTTCTGTTAGAAAGTTTTCAAAATAAAACTTAAGACGGTAAAACACAGGTTTTAGGGAATACCCCAAAACAACAACATTGCTCATCTTTGACCAACCACAATTATTTACAACATTAAAGAGCTCTGTAACCACACATAAATTTTCATCATTATATTTAGGATAGCTGCTGTTTAGAGTAACCATAAAATTTTGAGATTTAAAAAATAAAAAGTCAGGAAAGCGCTATGAAAAAGTAATTTCTGAAAGAAGTTCAGACAGGAACCACATTTAAATGGTTAATCACACTGATTTCCGAGCGGTGGGAAGGGTTTTAACTCCTATGAGAAGTATCTATCAAGATGAAACAACTTCAGTCCCCAGTGGAAGTTATTTTATCGCAGTTGAGGAAGAAACAATCTCGTGAACTATTGCCAAGTCCTGAGATGAAAGATACAGACCATCATTCACTTCGGTAACAGCTTCAACGGCAGCATTTTGCAAACATTTAGCAAAAAAAAGAATTTCGTGTCTGCCTTCAGAGGGAGAGAGCGCTCGCTCGCGCTGCGTTTCTGACCCAAACGTCGCTGCACATGTAAAGGATACTGCATTGGAAGAAAGAAAGGGGGGCAGCAGAGGTAAAGCGCACAGGATCCACCTGGGATCCTTCTTAATTAAAAAATTCTGAACATTCCAAGCATACAAGCATAACTTGTAAGGCCAGTGTCTCCATTTTCTGTATAAAGGTCATCGGCCTTCTTCCTACAGGCGACCAAGGGCTTAATAAAAGGAAAGAGTTGCTACCCAAACAAGCACTTAGCCCGCTGAGCGCGCCGCTGTGCTGACCCAGAGCTTTTTGATGTCTGCAGGCCGTTCCAGCTCCCCGGGACCCAGACCTGCCCGCTAGTCCACGCTGCGTGGCGCGCGGCCGCAGGGACGCCGCGCGTGGGGCGGACTCGCCAAGGTCCTGCGCAGCCTCCGCCCGGCGGGCAGTCCGCCTCCGCGGAGAGGCCACGGGCCGGCGCCGGAGGCGCCCCCTCACCTGCCCCGCGGTCCCGACCCCGCGTGGGCGGTCAACACGCGCGGCGGCGGCGGGCCCCGGGCGAGCCTAACGGGCCGCGAGGCCCAGGCCGCACCTGCGCGGCCCCACCTGCGCGCCCCTCACCTGCGCGGCGGCGGCGGCGGGCGGCGGCCCCCCCTGCAGGCCGTCCTCCTCCTCGGGGGGCTCGTCCAGCAGCACCCGGCCCCGGCTCAGCTTCCACATGCTCCGGGGCGGGCTCCGGCGTCCGTGCGTCCCTGTGTCCGTGCGCGCCCCTCTCCGGCCAGCCCGCAGCGCGCGGAAGCCGGGCTGCGGCTCCTGCGGGACCGGGACGCTGCGAGTGGG